ATATTAAGTGCTTCAAGCTGAGATGCACCAATTTCCGTGTGGAAGAGGAATTCGTAGGGGAAAAGTACATGATTAACCACGAAATATAAACGCAATAACTAAAAACAACGCCAAGCTGGCATACAAATAATCAACCGTATCAGGTCGAAGCAGATGTGATGCACAAATTATTATTATTATTATTATTATTATTATTATTATTATTATTATATTTTATGCATAAATGCAACAACCCTATTGAAAAGAGCTCTTTTTTAAAAATAGGATGTTGACTAGAAAAAAAGAAAAATAAATATCATGCACAACTAATATCGGGTGCAGTGTATGAAGGCAAAATGTGATGGGAAGCAGTCATAACCGAATAACCGCTAGAGACATGGGTCAATGAAAGATATGACACAGTTTTCAGAATTGTTATACAAAAGCATTCAGTCATTATCCATTGCTGAAATGCGGGCAGAAGTTACAAACACAGTCACTATGGTTACACCAGTTTCGTGTGGAAGGCCAACTACCATCATAACCACAGTTCACGGACAGACCGCGAAAGTCCATAGGTTTTGGTGATTATGTACTTTATAGTGATAATCACAATGACAATGATGCCAAATATAGTGACTTGAAAGATGATAATCCGTCGCTTTCATCACAAATTCACCTGAGACGATACACTCACATGAACATTGTGTGAAGTGCAAAATGCATGAAAGTGTTCATACGATCAATTTTAAAAGACTAAACGATCGACAAACCAATTTAAAAATAGAAGACGAAGGTCATCAACGGTGTGTGATTGCACAGGCCTGCGGTGCATCAAAGCAGAGATGCCAGAGTACACTTAGTTCGGTTCATTAGAATGAGCCGCTCTATAAGATTCATGGATCAAACTCCACCGTTACCAACCTACTCTGGTGGCCAGCAAATGGCCTGTGACCCGGTGCAGTATCGCGTTCATCCAAAAAGTACCAAATGGTCCAGCACTCTAAGTTTAATATATCAATATTCCGGCTTAGGTAGTCAGACTCCAGATCGTGGTCACCCAGCAGTTGATTTTATTATGCAATTAAAAAGACTCAGTGTCTCGAGTTCTGATACTAACCAATGAATAAACGCAAGTATTTTCATTGATATTTTGTTACTTCCATATTTAATTGATTGAGTGTACAAGTCTACAATCAACTTTCAGCAAGAGGGCGGCGACCACACAGAGGCTGACTGGAGAAAAACAGAAATGACGAAGATGGATCGGATTCGAACTAAACTATTTCGGGTCACTATTTTGATGACCTCCGCAACTTGACAATCACCGAATGATGACTCAGCCGGCATTCAAACCCTGGAATAGATATCATGATTCGAACACTATTATTGCTAGATAGTAGTGCAGTAGCTTACTACAAACGAGTTATTTGTCGCAATCAAGCATAACGTTCTAATAGGAGAGTCGTATACTCGTGCACAACCTCTAGAAGCCTCTGTTAACTTCATAATAAAAAAACCTTTCAGAGGACCTCAAAAATAATAAGCTACTGATCTAATCAGAAAAGAACAAATTAAATAGAAATGGAAAAGCCTTTTTTGAGCTGTTTAGTTGTTACTGAAATAGGATACAATGGTATCACTCAATAAGCAAACGACACAGTGTAGTGCCCTCCACCACCAATAGAGGCAGATAAACACATGGTATTGCAAATAAATTACAGCATTCATGTATGCCTTTGTAAACCATTCAGTAAAACCTTGGCGAGAGAGCACTTCACGGTACTGTGGACCAAGTGGCGCTCGAATGAAACATGTTGGGTGAACAAGTTGTCACCGCATCGAAAACAAGCATTGTGTCAGAAATCAGCGAATTACAAAAAAGATTTGCACATGTCAAGATGAGAGGGGACGACAACAGATATAAAAACGAAAGCTCCAGTATTGTCGGGGGTGGATGCGTTAGGCTTTCGCTGGTAACCCTTTCCTTGCACCTCGCGAAATGCCCAAGCGTCTGAAACAGCCTCTGCTGAGGAAGACCTACTCACTGCCTTAAATTAACGGAGATCTTTTCCCACCACAGTGAGAGGACGAAAAGCCAACATCCGGGGCTATAACCGGGTTGGTGAACCACTGATAAATCACCTAGGGGAGTCGGCTAAAAACTCTGATTCCAAACCAACCAAGAAGAGGTGTACGAACTGCACATACACCTCACTGGTTGTGGCAGTGGTCAGTGGCTCAATTGGGCACCGAGGTGTATAAGGTACACTCGAAGTTTGATCCCGTTCAAAGGATGTACGATCCGATGTACTGAACACTGGCTCCCAATAGATGACGGTTTTCACACAGTCCCGCTGCCTTGCGGGTCAAGCTTTGCTTAGCTGAAGGTTCGGGTTGTGAATTTCTCTAGAAAATTCACTTGCCTTGGAATGTGGAAGTATTCCGCCCAGTGACAAATCATCGAACTCTCGTTTTTATAAAGATTATTGTACCGTGGTTTGTTTGGCACACAGTTTCCATTCAGGCGTGCTAAATACACAAAAAATGAAGCAAAGCAAGCCATCAGATTATGAAAAATACGATTGAGAAGTGAGGATAAAACGATAAATTAAACCGTTGGGTAGGCAGAAAAGTCGCAAAACGAAGTGCATCACTCAAAATCTCTATTGTAAAAAAAACGCGGTAAAAGTTTTTTTGGAGGGGTGGTATCGAAAGTTCGAGTTTCAGATTCATATATCAAAACCAACCTAATTTCAACTGGAAACAGGGCCATCTAGCAGGGTTAGGAAAGTGTTATTCGAAACGTAAAATAAGACCAAACAGGTATCCAAAACACGGATCACATGAGAGGCACGTGAAATGATTCACACAGTATCCAGAAAGCGAAGGTTGCTAGTCCATTTGGAAGGTTGGATGCGTTGTATAACCTGAGACAGGAAAATTCTGTCTGAAGGGTACCAGATCTGAATAGCTGACCAATAACTGTTTGGGACACAACCATGTACCTCCTGCCTGTAAATTACGGACAACTATTTGCTTTCTTAACGGTTCTCAATTTGTCGTTTCCCTATTTTTTTTATCACAATGTGAACTGTACTAGCATGACCTCCACCCTCTGTAGATTGGAAGGTTGCCGAAACTCTGAATCATTTTACTTGGTCGCATGGCCCGTCGCCTAAAAGACTAGATGAACGGTGGTGTTTTGATACATTTCTAGCCTATGTCCGTCTGTCACGCTCTTCCGCTAACATAAGCATGCCGCGTATCGTTCGAATACCGCGTGCAGTTCACTGAGTTTTTGAATCATGACAGTCATTGCTTCACAAGGGTTCGAACATTATACATTATACATTTCTAGTGATTGTGATCATAGTCGCCGGGAATCTGAGAGCATCTTGTGTCAGAGGAACTTGTGTTGTCTCGAGTTACCAACAAAGGGCATAACACCTGTTTTGATGGAGTTTTGGTTATTACACACACAGGTGTGATGAAAAGAACATTGTTAAGTCGAAAGCTCGCGACTGAAATATTCATGTCAATCTTCAATGATTCTGTTCGGACAGGTAAGTAGAACCGTTAACAACGAATTCAGCAAATGAACACTGATTTTATTGACATCTTCGATCTGGCAAATGTTGATTCTACGTTTGGTTTTTGATTATTAAACAACTATTGAGACTTTTCTATTTGAAAGACACGTTTCCCTGCGTAAGTAACTGTCGTAGAGGATAGAGGAAAAGAGACTGGTGAAGTTGATCTTCAGATAACGGTCAAGAAGAACAGTAAACAAAGAAACAATGCATCTAGAAGTATCATACATGATTGGATTCAGTCAGACAATCTCACAAAACCAAGCGAATCAGAGAGCAAACACGCTCTGATGTGAACAAGAAAAAAACAGTCGAACATTTCTACACGCGTACAAAGGAGCCATCAATGAGTTGGCCAGGATAGCCACACTCACCAATTCGTTATCCGATGTGTCGTCAAAAGCGTAATCGAATCGGAATTGTTGGTTCTCAAGGTACTTGGTCAGATCGACTTTGGTTTTCGGTTCGTGGACAATCACATGTTCTTTGTCCGGCACAGTGATAACATCGATTTCACGACGTCCCAATTCTACGCACGTCAGTGTATGAGTGTGGAAGCGGGCGTGTGTATGTGCGCGCGTGGATCGACAAATTTATTAACACACATTGCATTGTGTGGGGAAGATAAAAGAAAGAGGTACATGGAACGACAGTGATTATTTCATGGGCAAAATGATTTCCTAAATGCCAAAATTAAGACAACTTGGAAAGTGTTGTTGTGACTCATTTCTGAGTTGGAATGCGTTTAAATCAATAAGCAACTAGTCGCACGAAGAAATCAAGCAGGTTAGGATGTACCAAATCAGTTGGGAGGGTAGGGTGGGTTTGCGGAATATTTGACAATACAAGTAAAAGCTTTCTCATTGCCACAAACAAGGATTTATCTGCGTACTTGGCAGGCTTTGCAAGAAGGAAAGTAGTTTGTCTAATTATACACGTTTACCTTATTATCAGAAAATGGGGGTTCGAACTTTTGTCCCTAAAACGACCTGAACGGACAAACCGTAGAATTACCATCGCCTGAGAACGTGTTAAAGAACAAAAGCAGTTGACCAGGTGGTGACTGACGCCAGAGATCCCGGGTGTGAATCCAAATCAATCGTTTAACTTGGGAATCAAACTGGTTCCCTATCATCCGTTAATTTGATACAGTATACTCCCAGGAATAATCCTTTCAAGTCGATGCGTGAAACCTGCACCACGTTGGCCATGCAGACGGGCGATGCTTTGCTTCTGGTCACAAATATGTGCTACCCTTTTCGGTTTTCTCAACGTGGGATTCTGTAACGTTAGCTGACAGGCTTTCAAACCGTACGCAACGTTAGATCCAGACCTAAATAAATAAACTGGATGAGTCTTATTCCAAAACGAAAAAAATCCTCTGGACTACATCCGTAGTTTTGCAACAAGAAATTATCTATTACAACCACAGGGAAAGCTTGGTTTTCAGGAAATTTTCATACTACTTCCATGGCGTAACATCTGAACATTCATGAGTATCTAAACTGACAAAGTTTAACGTGTAAACCGAGCCAAGAGGATTGATGCGTCGATCCGTGAGTAACAGCTTAGTTCACGATCATACATTTGAAAACAGAAAGAATATAGGCTGTTGAAAATAAGAAAATCGGACAAGTGTTTCACAAGTTCGCAGTCCCGGGGAAAATGGAACCGGAAAATAGAAGCCTAACACATGCGGACAAAAAGCTGATTGAGGTGACTGCATTAATGAGAACGAAACGCAAGACAAAGGGACATGGGGAGACCGAAATGAGTTCAGAAGAACAGAAAGCGAAATAGTAACGACGAAAAGGAAGTGGCAAGCTGACCGCTCGGCGATTGGACATATCAGAAACTGGCGAACTCCGTTCGAGTTAACTGAGTCGTAACGCCAAAATGTGTCTGGAGTTCGGTGGTGAAGCGAGTCGAGGGCAGTGGATGAAAAGGAAATGAGGCAATGGTCCGACGAGCTAAGGGGGAAGAGGGAAGTGATATTGGAGAAGAAAGATGGAATGGATGTACGAATGAAGTTACGGGTGTGGAGTGGTCACCAACACAATCAGGGACGCGTGTGAGGAGCTGAACTAGATGACTTCGGTCGTTGACCACAGTTAAAGAGTTCCATAATCGAAATATCTGAGGACAGCAACCATTTTTTCTTATTTCTTTTGGGGATACGCCGCAATTAATGCCTCAATGTTGGAAGATAAAATATCCGAGGTAGAAAGATCGTTGCTGTTAAGGAAGCGGTAAATAGTACAAAAGTAATAGTCAAAAGAAGTGAACGGAAGTTTCAACTACATGAAATGAAACTCCCGATTAGAGAAATCAAAGTGTGAAAGTGGGGAAAAAGTAACAGAATGGTGAAGATAGGTGCAGATACCGGCTTTGATTAATGAAGAATGGAAAAGGTAATTGAACAACTGATGAGCAGTGTCTGATAAGAGAGATTCGTATTGAAGTCATGGGAGAAGAAAGTTTGAGGTGTACAGAATCAGCATTTCGACTCAAGTCACGAATATTAGTGAAGACAGAAAGAGCATGAGTCGATTTCTGTGAGTATTTTCCGGTATAACAAGAGTAATTCGGCATTTGGTTTGCACTGTCCATTCTTGATACGAGTAAAAACCAGTAACCCAGCCCACACACTTTAAGAGGGAACAATATAAGGCCAAGTTAGGTTGGGCATGATAGTGGTCCAATCTACAGCAAGGCTATCTACCTTTGACTTGTATTGGACTTCCGACGGGTTACGTTGGACTTTGCGTGTAATGTACTTGATGATGCTTGGTGTATGAAGTCTATTTCTTTTCAACTGAAATGTAAGTCGTTCTGTTTGCACAAGTAACAACACGATATGGAACGACTTCTTTGGTCACATAAATACTGATATACACCAGTCCTACCTTTCTTGTTCATCGGTCGTTTGCGAACACAGACACAAATCTGATGATCTTCAGTTGGATCAGTGTTGGTGATCGGTCGATAATCCAGAGTGCTTCGATATTCACTGAATGAGAGGGGGAGCGAAACCATGTAGAAAATATATATGGACAGCACCTCAACAAGAGGACGATACTGAAAGGGATGATTAACATAGACTGGAGAAAAAGAGTACAGGATACTGAGGTGTGTTTGCGTACACTTCAGGTGGTTCAAAACATTTTAAGAGATATTTTTGTTTTACAAATCTTGTTTAGGCAATGGTTTTAGTTGACGATATTTACTTCTGCTATACCCTCATACAGTGTTGAGTGCAGCAGAGCATGGGAAGAAAACGCGGTAGCGTTCACAATACAACTATGTGAATTGATTACAATCAAACTTTTGAGTCAACCAAGTACACCAGGTCAGATTGGAATTCAGTTCACGTTAAGAGAGGTAACCTGTGATTGTGTCAAGGGGGGGATTACTCATTCGCAGGAATTGCATAGCAGAAATATAAGATGCCATATAAATGGTAACTGTGGCAAGAACAGGAAATCTTTATAGAGCTAACTAGGATCATCATGATCATCACCGTTGTCGTACGGCGAAAACAATGAGCCTCACTAATCGCTGACACACTCGCAATGCACAAAAAGCAAGTTGTAACGCTGACAGGGATAGGACTCTGTTTGAGGGAGCGGAAATGAAGTGAACTACTATGGTCAACACAAATTGTGTACGCAGGTGTTTGAGCATTCCGGCTCGATGAGAGATGGCAACAAGAACGTCATTGTTGTTGCTTCGCTGCCATGTCTTTCACTGTCTCCGATCACCCAGATACGGGGTCTTTTGGACACCATCCTGGGAGACGAAAAACGCCTACCCAAACTAATGGCTCTGCGAATTTCTTGATACCTCGTCTCCACATCATCTGTTGACCTCAAAGTGCTTTCCACCAGCCCGATGCGATAGACAACAGATGGGTATCCGCAATACGTGCTTTGACAAGCGAAGCCTAATAATCTGGATTTCATAGGCCGGCGAATATATCTCTGATGAATTCCTAAACACACGACAACTTATTAACCCACTCAATCCATTCCACTTGTGCCAAACTACGCAAGCATGGAACGATAAAATTCCTTAGTTGATAAATGTCTTTTATTCGCAAATTCAATGTTACACAACCGTGAAGCAAAACCGACCGACCAGCGGCAGAATATGCATGACCTTTCGATCTCAAAGAAACGTTGCGTCATCGCCAAAGATGTTGCAGCCCTGCGTTGGCTGCTCGAGCTTGCGCTACGAAAAACTATTGCGCAACCGCTTCGATGGGAAAAAATGCACTACAGCTAATTCGTGGGGTTAAACAAGATAAAAACTCAGTCTTGCTAATATTTGGCACTCTGAAGGAGCAAAGCATATGCCGAAAGCAGCAACGGAACTCGTCATTCTCTCAATGATGGAATACACCCCTGCGACTGGATTTTGTACAGAAACAATTGATAAAATCTACGAGATTAATAAACATCTTGAAAAGAGTGGAAAACTGTCAGGTCACACTGATTTTCCTTTCTTCAGGACTTCAATACAAGATCGTACTTCTGCTTCTGTGTTAGGTTCACATGACATTGTCAACGAAGCGCCAGCCACAATAGACGATCAACTGAACTGTTCGTCGAGATATTCCGCCCAGTGGTCAAGCCGTGGTTCCTTACTGTGGATAGCTTGCCCACTCTTGTCGAAAATTTTTTCATTAAGTGGGGTCTCCTGACCTTCTGTGTTTCATATCAGTTGGAACCGCCTGAATATTCCCGATGGAGCGGTTAATTCCACTTCCCTAGCTATGTTTTCCGCCAGTTTCTACGGTCCGAGTATTATTTTTATCCTGGCCTGTCGATATTTGTCGCCTTTGCTCTATTACGGTTACTGACTAGTGACAAATTCAATGCCTCGAACGATGTTGAGGCTCAAATCCACAAGCTCCATTAGCTTTGGATTGCATCCCTCGGCTAATCTGATTTCATTGTTCATCTTCATCAACACGTTGCCGTGCGCTTAGCTGATGCCCTGTCACGCACTCATAGCGTATGCGAACGGTTGGATCAGAAGTGAGATAAGGTGCTGGCAGATGTTCTTGGTCTTGTCGGTGATCAGTGGATCATAGCGTGAATTGTATGAATGCTAATAAATGATCAGACTCAATACAGGTGCCCCAATAGGACCTGCAGCTTTGTACTGAGCCAAGTCAGCGGTAGCTGATAGTAGCAGTTAGAGTACCCGTTGAATTGAAACGCCACGTCACCGTCCATCGAGAGGTGCGTCGGAAATTGGTACTAATCAGGAAAAGACGGTGACCTGCCTGGAACTGGACAAGTCGATCGCCGTTATCTGTTCGCTGACGGAAGAACCTTCCGAAGCGCTCAGCTTTCTGATCTACGAGCAAAAAAATTACCTGTAAGCATGACTATTTCGAAAATTCAGCTAAACCGAAAGACTTCGGTGAGCTTGTCGTAGAATTTGTCATCTGGTATATCAGAAGTGTAAAGTCGAAGTCAAAGTTTTATTATGGGAAATACTTACAAGTGGTTGCTTTTCTAGTCCCATAGGATTTAGCACAGATGAATCGATTCACAGTTCATACAAAGTAGACGAATGTCAGAATTTGTCTTTGTTTCGTGAACTCCTACGGATATTGAAATTTAAAACTCTTCAGAGCTTCATCCGGTTTGTTTTCGAATGAACCGATTGTGGGCGCAGAAACAACTTGTGGTGGTAGAGAATTCCAAGTAATGCACACTCGAGTACAGTGATTCCAGTCTTTCCGCGTAACTCTTGGAATGCATTCCCTTGACCATTTTGGTGGCCATTCTTTGTGGACGTTTCAGAATCTTCCTACCGCGTTGCATACATGGATTCCATGCTTGAATGGCGTACTCTATGTGGGGTCGAATGTAGGCTGAAAACAATCGTGGGAACAGCGTAGGTTCGAATTTGCCAAATACTCGTTTAGGAAAAACAACATGTCATACAGAGGTGGACGACGCCCAGGAGCAGTCTAGAGAACAGCTTAGGTCGTCTTAAACAATGACGCCGAGATCTTTCTCATTTGAGACATACGGAAGTTGATCTCCAAGGAAATACGGAAACCGAGTTTTGTGTCGAAGGGACACGACCGTACATTTTGATGCATTAAATTCCATGTCGTTTTCGATTAACCATTGATAGGCAGCATTAGGTGTTCTTTGATTTTCTAGCGAGTCCTCTGGTTTTGTCCCCATTTTCCATATTTCTGCATCGTCTGCAAACATTAATGTTTGTGGCCTCAGAATGTCCGTTAGGTCGTTTATAAAAACAAGGAAAAGTTGAGGGCCCAGCACGGATCCCTGTGGAACTCCTCGTGCTATGCTGATGGGATCAGAAAAAGACCCAAAAACCCGAAGTGCCGTGGTGCGTTTTCGAAGAAATTCTTCTATCCAGCTAGGGACAAGTCTCCGAACTCCGTAGTTGTGTAGTTTCCTCAGCAGTATTTTGTGGTTCACTCGGTCGAATGCTTTGGAGAAGTCGAGGTGCACAACGTCAACTGCATCGCCGTGATCAGCTGCTTTTGTCCACTCTTCTCGGGTCAGAAGCAGATTAGTGGTACTCGATCACCTGCAATGAAACCCATGTTGAGCAGGAGATAACACATTGTATTTTTCCCAGTGATTCATCACATTGTCTGCAACAATGGATTCCATGACTTTGGATAATACGGGGAGGAGAGAAACGAGGCGGTAGTTAGCTGGGTCACTACGACAGCCGCCTTTGTATATCGGATAAATTATCCCTTGTTTCCATGCTTGTGGGAGTACAGTTTTCTTGAACATTTGTTAGAATAGTTCGCTTAGTGGTTGAGCTAAGTTACTCGCCAGGTTTATAAGGGTTTTTGGATGGATATTATCTTCCCCTGGAGATGAGTTTCTTTTCAAACACTGCAGGCAGTCGTATCCCGGTGTTCTCAGCTGCCGTGAACACCTGAGTGTACTGACTTTTTAGCATTTAAGCTGCCTCCTTTGTTGTGACTGAAACACGTTCTGGCACTCTTAGCGCTGGAACGCCATACTTAAATTTTCTGGTGGCATTTATGTGTGTTTTACAACAGCTTGAGATTTTATACGAACTTGCGCATGAGCACTTCTTGGTGTATTAACCTGTCTCCTCACGCCAACTTGGTGCAATGGTTTCGGAGTTGACAAAAGGTATACCATATGTTGTTGCAAGATCGTTTATAAGCTCTCCATGAGATATTCCTCTGCGAAATCCACTTTTTGTCCGACTTGGAATCGCTAATCTTTGACCAGTTGAGTAGGTGATGCGTTTGGTCTTTGGTGCGCCTTTCACCATTTCCGTCAGGTGGTTTGTAAATTATTCCCAGGATACCAGGAAATCACACTGTTCATTGGGAAATTTCCATTGGAAATCTCTCNATAAATATATATATATATATATATATATATATATATATATATATATATAAACCGGTCGTGTGCTTCCAGGGAAATTTTGTCCAATCATTCACATACTACTTATTATGAAACATATACATATACATTTAACACCAATGTTTACATATACGGCGCAAAAATAACCATGGGTGAACGAAAGAATATCGGTAAAAAGCGGGGAAAATAAAACAGTCAACTTCGAGGAGTAACACATTTTGTTTTGTTTACTGCACGCCATTTGAGGTTTTTACGTTTTTGTTTACTTTTGGGATTGCAAACAGGAGAGGATACATTCGCGCCACTGACTTCGGTTCGATGCCATATCCCGCAATGTCCCCAGTCAAAGATAATCTGAAACCCCAACGGAAGCCAGATCCGAGCACAATCCCTTCAAACCTCTGCGTCACGTCGTAACCTGCCCACCTCGCTGTTTCTTCCAGCCTGGACCGATGTCTGTGAATAGTGCACGGTATGGCAGACGGTGCTCAGGCATTCGTAGGACGTGTCATGGCCACCTAAGACGATGCCGTGAAATTATTTTGCACAAACATACAGGAACTAGTCGTAGAATTGTGCGGTACGGATGCACAGCAAATATAGTCAAACGTCAACATAGCATGATCACTACGCCCTAATGGAATTGTAGTGGAAATCATTTCGACTATCAGTTCCTCGTTAGCTAACACCAAGCCCAAAACCGACGGTAACTGGTTGGCTCCAAACCTCGTGGGCTCCTTCACAAAATTGTAAAGTGAATAGGATTCCATAAGTTGAGCGGGTTTCTTCTCAAACGGTTCTAGAGAGGTCGCTGATTTAGCTAGATTAAGGCAATTGAATTCACCCATAATGAGAACATGTGTGAACTTCAGTGACAGAATGTGATACATGATTTGCAAGTGCTTCACTGGCTGAATCTGTGGATGAAAGAGAGCGGTACACCACACCGATCGCGCTGCAGCAGTCGCACTTTGCATAGACTAAGATGATGAACAAAAGTTCATAATTATAACTCCATTTGGGAAATATCATGAGAATTTTAGTACCATTCTGTCAACTATAGCACATCGAAAGATTGCATAAACAAAATCTGATCTATAAAGAAAATGAAATTTAAACAGATCTGAAGTACGTAGCTGCTGGAAAACATCAACTATCATTTTAGGGATCGATAACCGGGACGGGTGTGTGCACAAGGTGATCTTAGTCAATTTTCGGAGGTTCCCTGCTGCGAATCATTCTGTTTTATTCACTCAGTTCTGTAATAGAGATCATCTATCTTTTCGTCCAACTGTTGCTTGTTGCGAAGTCTATGAGAAAAAAAGTGAAATGATTGAGGCGAACGATCGTGTGGTTATCAAGTAAAACAGTAGGTGAATTCATGATCGTTTTTTAACATAATAAAACCACCTCAGTGCTTTCAATTGAATAGACAAATGTAGAAGTGATTCTCAAGAAGCGAGTAACGGTCAGTCAAAGGAGTGCTACAACGTGCAATAAAATGCCTAAGTTAGACAACTGTGACGGGATGTGAATACCCTACCTTCGAGATAATACTATGAAAAAGCACACCGTTTGTTCTTTTCTCACGATCCGATGATGGAAATGCTTCTAAACTGAGGTCTTAGCTCCATGGAGTCAATACATCCCGAAAAATATAAATTTGGGGTAACTGAGTGAGTAACACCGCTCCTAAAATTTGCAGATCACAGCGAGAAATTGAATTCCAAGCAAACTCACTTAATCATCATGTGAAATTCGTAGCTCGGATTTGTCGGGTCCAAATCGATCTGATCACGGACCGCACGTTGGGCTGCACGACGCTCTTCGCGTCGCTGTTTGATCAGTTCAATTTCTTTCACACAGTTCGACTTCCTAACTGCGCCAGAGCTGGCTGCCCCGGTGTTCGCTGGTAGACCGTTCGGTACGACTGTGTTGCCTCGGGCTGTTCAGAGGTGGAAAAGAACGAAAGGACAATGTGATGAAGAATGATAGGCTACATGAATTCATTGCGCAGTAAACAGAAGAAGTTCTGGAACTACTATGCCCGCGTACAAGAGAAAATGAAATGAATCAGAAAAAAAGAGAAGAAACGAGTGTAAGGGCTATGCACCTGATCTGATCTAGGCGCCGAACACAAAAATGTTAACAGAACGCCACACACGGATCGACAAAGACAAAACAAAGACAGAGTGGACTTGGAAATCATGAAGGAGTTGTTTGGTTCCATAACCCGGTATTTAGCAGCAACGGCGAAAATAACTAAGTTTATTTGATAAGGCATAAAACTATAAAACATAAAAATCTGTTATTACACGCTGAAGGATGACACCACAGAAATCAAAATGCGAACAACTGACAAAGGCTAGGAGTGAAGTCCAGCAACATCACTAGTTAGGGAACCCCGCGGATTATCTCTGTGCTAAAGAAATCTTTGCTGCACCGCAGTGGACACGGGATTCACAACTTTAAATGGTGAAGTTGTGGCTTATGATACTGAAAATATCAACACCCAAGTGGTGAATGAGACTGGCTCTATGCTGAGTTCACAGTTGGTGAATTACCCAAAAGCTTTAGCCTAGGCAACCTGGTATTATCCCACACACTAGTAAATTATTTGCTTTTTTGGTCTCAAGTATTATTGTACTGTAACTAGTATGACAGTCCGAGCTCAGACACGTTATATATATATATATAATATATATATTATATATATATATATATATATATATAAAGCACCATTCCCATTACGTACCTCAATTGGTTCGCAGAGCGCTACTCGTCTGCTCATTTGGCAAGTAACATGTGTTGGACTGCCCCAGATATGCAGACCCTATACGAATTGCACCCGCTTCTGAGGAACTGTATACTTGTAAATTAGACGACCCAGGCAAGTTCCCCAGGATTAACCACAACCTTTAACTAAAGGGAGTTCGTTTGCAGTTTCCGTTTGTTCGACGATTGGTCATGCGTTCTCGTTGGGTTGAACAGCCCCAATGCACAACACTGGAACACCAATTCCTCTCCTTCTGTATTTAGTAGATTGAAGTACGCCACGTTAGACTTAACGGATTCACAAGTAATGTGGGTGTTTTCTCTTGGCAGATTCCAAATGTTTAATCAACGACCAAAGTGACCTTTTCAAAAGAAACAAACTTGGTGAAAATGCAACCTTAACCGGGGACAAAACGTCTAGATGTCAAGTTTAAGGAGGAATTTCAAATTCTTTTAGATCGACAGTAAATTTCTGCATGACACTGGATGAACTGTTGATCAGATTGCCTGAATCAGGAGTATTTAAATATATGACTCAGTATTCACGGACAACTACAAGACACGAATGATTAGGCACAAAATGGAGTGAGTGGGGAACATGAAATTCGGAGAAAAAGCAAGCTATGAAAACACCGACCAAAAAGAACGGAAAACGAAAAGATACCGATTTGACGTCGCTGTAGTTCATTGGTAGATGGTGCACGATGGTTAGTGGTCACTGGGGTAGCATCTTCTGCCGGCTCCATAGTGTCCTGTTCCATCCACTCACCGTAAAGACTGCTGCCATCAGGATCCCTAGCCAGATCGGCTAAGTGTCTCAAATCGTCGGCCTCGTGTGGACCTCGAGCGACGGGTGTCGCTTCTGACAAATCCTCCTCCATTGGTTCTTCAAGCGTCAAACGCTGAGGAAGATGTGGGCCTGAAAACGAATGCCCTGTACCGCAAGGGAAATAATGTATAGCAAAACTAATAGTTTAGATCTTCAGTCATGAATTAGTCAAACAAAGCGATATGCGTGCCGATGATGTGACTTACAGAGCATCGTCGCAAGTGAAACGAACGAAAAAGATGAGCCTACGAGTGATGGAAACATTGCTTTGAAAAGTAAAAAAAGGTTATATTCCATCAAAATACTCGGAAATCTTATGGTTGAGTATGAGATGTAATCAACTGAAAGGAGATCAAAAATCAAGTAAAAGCCCCAAAGTAGTTAATCTATTTCAGACAGAACTCACCGGTCGTATCCGGATGCCTGATTTGGGTTACATCGTGGGTGGATGTAGTGTTCACACTTGTGGGTGCCGCAGCAGTTGGAATGGCGGTGGCGTGTCGGGACTGGTTGGTTCGATCATCCGGTCCTCCGGATGTAAAAGCTGGACGAGAAGGCACGGAGGCACTGGTTACATTGGACCGCAGGGTTGTTTGGGCACGAGTGGGCACGTTTGTCCGAATAGGAACTGAGGACGAAATATCATACTGCGTTGCGTTTTGGCCAGAGGCGATGGAAGTAGTGCTGCCTGTGGTGGTAACGTTGGTTTGATGTGACGCTTGATGTTTCGCAGCGAGTAACGTCACAGAAGCACGAGGATCAATCTGGGGCCAAGGAGCGACTGACCGATGTTGACTGGTAGAGGACGGAGGCTGGTGGTGAGAGTCTTTCTGAGATTGAGGTCTACTGGTATCTCCTGTGCCAGCAACTTTTTCAGGAGAAGTCTATGTAACAGATCACGTGGTAAGCAACGATTCACAATTTAGGATTGTATATAGGTAATGGGCAAGCAACAAAGGTTCATAAATAACTCTGTTTATGGAACTTTTTTCAAGGGGAATCAATAAAAAATTCCAAATATGTTCAGATATTCACTGCCTGTTTGTAATAAATCAGTCTACGTCTATCCAGAACAGGCTTTCACCCCGTCCAAAGCACGTATATTTCTGTTAAATGGTCTCCGGTCCTCAGGGTTTTGCTACTCTCACACTGCTCAGTTATCTTTTGGGTCAGGCTTTCACTAGCCGGAGGCTCCGACTGTGAATATCTCAAGAAAATTCATCTGTTTTGTTCAGGACAGTCTGAGTACTCCGACAGCGAGCAAATCAAGAGCTGATTTCCTTTTTATAAGCACTGTTATACCGTGATTTGTTTGGTAAATAGTTTGAACTCAGACTGGGAAATATAAAATAGCATACTAATAACGAAAAAGAGGTTCCCGTCCCCTTCCTAAATATATATATATATATATATTTCCAACGTAATCCTCAACAACCAGTTACACTTGGTCGGAGAACACATCATACGACCGGGAACGATGAGGTAAAAAATTAGTATGACCAACAGAAAATGAACGTTAAAAAATATGACTTACTCCAGGTCGACGAAGATTTGGATTCAACTGATATATCGCCTCCAACTCGATCTGGATGACAATGACAGAATTAAATGGAACAGAATAGGACGCTTGATGCAACATTTGAAATAAGCAGTTCAAGTTCTGCAATGATATCTTGATTGGAACATCCCATACCAGTTCTGAGGCCATTTAATTAGCAACCCCCGCGAACGATGGATTGATATGATACTAAGTGGACCGTTTATTACAACTCTCCCCACATGATCACTACGCATTTATGCAAGCGAAATCAGACGATATTGGTATCAACGAACGTCTCAACGTGTAACAAGTGAGTCAACTGGTGTGGCCGTAAATCACACAAGTTACATAAGTGTATGCGGAAAGAAGGTAACAAGTTCGGCATTTAAACTAAGCGCAATCCAAACTCATAAGGTCTATCTGCGTATCACATCATTGACTAGTTAACCCGGTTAATACATTTAAAAACAATTAACATTAAAGAGAATAAGCCAATTCAGCGTGTGTCGCTAATAATGAATTGTCAATGTGACACGCGTGGGAGCATTGAATGGACAAGGTTCTTAATTTTCACACGGGTTAGGTTTGAGATACACACATTCTTATGATAGAAGCAAGATTAAAACTGATGGATCAATCAGACACAACGGTAACGTTACATAAACAGATGTGAAAAATCTCGGAGTGGTAGATTGAACTGTGTAGGTCATACAAAGCCTCTACACTGTTATGTATGATATTGAACTCGTTGCCAATATCTGAGTACTAGCAAATACAGCTCCATCGCAAATATACCGGCTAGGGACACCAGCCTTATCAGTTTATTCAATTATTTCCAACCTGCAGTAGTATAACCGGTATTCGCACTTTGCTATTTACTGTCTTTGCACTATAGACTCAATGAAGTACAAAAAGATGATCATTTGAGTGAAAATGAACTAAAGTGAGGTCAAACGACACGAATTTTCGAAAAGCTAATCATCCGAACCACCGACATTGATATCAACTAAAAGAAGCAACAGAGTATCGGTATGCATGGTTTAGTAACATTGAAAAGTGAGAAGTGAAAAATAGCTAATGTGACGGTTTTTCGGTGAGGCTCTAAATCTCGTTGGCGTAAGGGTTAGGTAGAAAAGATTGCTTGAACTGAGATTCATGATTCATGGTAGTGTGTAGGTCCTCAAGAGCAAGAATAAGATGTACTTTAAAAACGGGTTTGTCTGTCTACTTTTAAAATCCAAATAGAAGTTAGAACATGCACCGCATGCTGTCAAACGGAGTACTTTCACAGGATATCAAACAATTAGACTCATTAATAACCAATCATATTGGATATTTAGAGTACGGTATCACACTGCAATCTGAAACAGACGACAACACATACATGCTCACATTTTTATAAACAAGAGGCAGACCATTTGTTCAAGTCAGCTTAATACAGACTGTATTCAAATCATTTATCCCTTCTGATGTTTTTTTTTTGTTTGACTTACAGACAACTAATGAAATACTCCAAGCATCACCTGTGTAATCGCATCGATTATTCAACTTCTGTGTATCTACAAATCACGTGATGAAATCTAACAGTTAGATAAAGTAGATTGCTTTTGACACCTGAATTAGTCGTCAGCTGATCACTGGACTGCACTTGAACGATTAGCTGACAAATAAATACAGCCCACACAAACCATTGATCTGGTTCGACCACTTACGTGCGTAGGCGTAGAAAAATTACATCGTGTGTGGCTACAGAGATACTGTAGATCAGATTAGATTGAAAAATAAACCCTTTTGCTAGCCTCTTCTAGAGAGCACTGACCTCTGATGCTTTTTTCACACACAAGCACAAATACAGAGGGTGAGAGAAACAGGGCTCCGGAGATGAAAATCGGGAAAATATTTGCGTTACCAAAGGATAAAAATCATGACAGCCAACGAAAGGTGCTGAAATTTAAAGCGAGAACTGTACAAGATGGAAGGACACAAGGGTGTAGTACAAAATAAACTGGATGTCCGTACAGAGTCTAAGTATTGCAGTCACTGCAGCCCTGTTGTCCCCGGCCCACTACCACGCATCATCATCGTACAGTGCAATACAGCGAAGCGAATTTCACTGATCGCTGTCAAACTCGCAATGCATACAAGATTAGAGTTAAAATTTAAGATGGATAGCGATCGGACCTACTTTGGGGGAAGGAGAAGGTAAACCACTATGGTCAACACACAGGGTGCACAATCGAACTCTGCATACATGCCGTTTCAAGTGTTCCGACCTGATAAGAAATGATAACAAGAACGCCACTGCTGTCGGTCGGCTGCCATATCAATGTTTCAATGTCTCCAACCAGCCGTTTGTGGAGTCCTTTGGACCCCAACCTGGAAGGAACGAGACACCTACTCTCTGTGTAGAGAGAGCGACTGCCCATCACGACGAGACTGCACCTTGACGTGGTGTGATGGCTTGCGTGCCTCAATGACCCTGCGAGCTACACAGGATGGCTTCTCACAGCCGCAGATTCAATCATGTCCGAAAGGTCAACGGGTAGAAGCCAGACGAAGACTAGTCTCACAACACCAGCGGCTTGGGCACCTCCTGGCTTCTTTCTACTATCCACACTCGCCCCTGGAGAGGCCACTCCGGCAAATAAACCCGGTGAGGGGAAGTTTACCGTTCGAAAAAAAACCGCTAGATGGACGTAAGAGCGGGGTACCTGGGGCTTCCTCTCGACCGTGGGAGAAGTCTTCGCACTTCATTGGACAGCTACCGCCCGCCCAAGCTGGGCAGACCCCAGCCAATA